TATATATATATATATATATTATAATTGGGGTGTATGGGTACTTGGTAGGCATGTCAATCTAACCCGTCCCCGTGGGCACTCGCCCGAACCTGCTCCGATTTAGATCGGTAAACCCCGCGTTTATCGGGTTCGGGTTTTTTTCGATTTGATAAAATTGAGGGCGCATTACCCACCTCGCTCCCGCCCCCATATCCGTCTCATTCCTGCCTCGCTTAATAATATAATTAAAAAAATTATTTTTATATATACATAAACCAAAATTAGAAATATTTAAGTAAAAATTTATATTATTTTACTTTTTTTTTTATTTTTTAAAATTGTTCATATTTATTTAAAAAAAGAAAAAGAAAAAAATGAAGAAAAAAAATAGGGGTGGGGCAGGGATGGAGATCCAGATTTTACCACCGGCAAGTATGGAGGCGGTTTGAGGGGGAGGGGGCTCGTTGCCATGCCTAGTACTTGATATTTGTTTAGGTGTTAAAAACAAAAAATACTATACAGGCCAATGCATAGTTAACCCGATATGCATTGTAGGTCCAGGACAACCGAGTGCAAGTCCCATCACATAGATGTAAAAAAATAAAGTACTAGTTTGATTTTTTAAAGCCTGAATGAATCAATATAGGAAATGATTTGTCCAGTTTCGGTGTCACTTGTGAGTAGACCAGCTGCTGCTTGAACCACTTCTGTATGAGACTGTCATCCTTTTATGTTGGCCAACGAAAAAAATCGAATCAACAACGGAAAATTTGCAATTCATTAACAAGTACATAATTTGCCATCCCCAGTTATCAATAATAATTTAGGTTCCTAAATCCGGGAATTTAATAGGGTATCTTCGTGCACAGTCACCGGTTTCATTTATTTTGGTCATTTGCTTAACTACGAGGAATTGTGTGCATGTAAAGAAGGATATACCGCCAAGTTCATAAACTGATACTACGAGGTTATTTAAGTGTACCTAATGGTTTTGAGTAGTGGTGTGAAAAAAATTAAATGAACCCGTTTAAAATTGAAATTGTATTGCACCATTTTAAAAAAAATTATAACTAATTTATTTTTAAAACAATGTATTGTTTATATAAAATAGAATTTAAAAATTGAACTGAACTGGTAATTAGGCTTGGTATACCATTTTTACATAATAAAATTAAATTAAATTAAAATAATTTACTTACGGTTTAGTATTTTACAGAATTGCATAAAATGTTTGAATATTACTTATGGTTATTATATTTTTGATTTTGCATTTTCTTTTTTAATTTTCTGAATGTCTTTAGGCTATTAAAGTAAATATTAGTTATCAAATCATAATTTATAATTAATTTTTTACATAACATTTATAATTCTTTAATGCTTTTGAGTTGGAGTTTATGGGTTTGTTTGTGTAAACTTTTTTTTTCTTTTAAAAAATGTTTTTAATAAAATAATCAATTTCTAATAAAATAATCAATTAGTCTCCGAGTTAAATATTTAACTATTAAGAGATTTGTAATTTATCTTTAAAGAATGCATTAATTTTGACTTTGTTCATAATTTTGGAAGAATAAACTATTTTTTCTTAAGAAAATCAATTTAAAATTGGTTCAGATCTTAAAATTGATTTGAGATTAATTTGGTTATGAAACTGGTTTTAAATCAGTTTTGAACCTGTTTATAAAAGTGATTTGTTTCTAAATTGATTTATTGATGTAGTTTAAATGTTTCATAAATTGATTCAGTTTGATAAAATAGTGCGGTGTAGTTTGATGCTGTTTTTTTAAAAAAAAATCGAACCATGCATACTAGTTTTGAGATTGGAAAACTAATTTTCATAATAATCCTATTAGCTCAAACAAGATAAAAAGAGTAGAACCATTAGGATCTGCCTAGTGGGAGGTTATGATAGTATGTTCAGGGTCTTAGGTGCTATCATTATAATTTCAATAAATAAAAAAATAAGAGAAAAAGGGGAGGTGGCTTCTACAATGCATAGAGTAAGTTTTGATGCGTAGATGAGTAACTAATATGTTACCTAAAATGAATGATTATAATTATCCGCTCAAATTTTCTTCCATATCAATTTGTTTTACTCCAACCAAACTATAATTTTTTAAAATTTAAATTTTTACACACTTCTTACAAAAAATTTAATACTAATATATTAAGTTTAAAATACCTTTATATATATATATATATATATGAGAATGGATTAACATACTCTACTCAATAATTTATGTTTTATATTAAATTTTAATGATCTAATTATTGAATTAAAAGTTTTTAATACATAAATCAAGTTCGCAAATTTTTTTAAAATTTGAGAACTATTTCATACTTTGTTATATAAATTCAAATTGATATATAAAATATTTTTATAATTATTCATCAATTTGAATTAATGAAATAGATTATAAAAAAAATATTATTTTTTTAAATTTTACAGACTTAATCTATGCATTAAATTTTTTTATTTTAATAGTTAAATTGTTAAATTTTAATGTAAAATATGAATTATTGAATGAAATAAGATTAGATAGACTTACTCTTTATGTAAGTAGATATCTCTCTATATATGAAAAAAGTTAATATAATTTATATTACTAATATGTAAAACATAAAAAAAATGTATAAAAAAAAACTCAACATGAAAAATTATGGACCGGAAGGAGTAATTTTTTCCCCCTTTTCTATTACCTTATTTATTATATTTATTACTTTTTTATCTTTAATTTTTTTCCTTCTCTTTTCTTATCTATTTTCATCTTAATCCACCTCCAAAATGGATAGAAGATTATCACTATTCTACATGTAATAGCTGGTGGGTGACATGTGACTCTTTGATAATTTATAATTACAAGACAAATATAATAGCATAAAACAAGCTAGATGCATAACAAAAAAAAAAGTGTAAAGAAGGAAAAACATTGTCACGTAATTCATAAGGACAATTAACAGATATAGGATTCCTTCATTTTCAATCAACATTTTTAGCAGATGAATAATAAAAAGAAATGGAGAAACAAGATTTATCAAAGAAAGGTCATTCAACATTATCGTGTGCTGTTTCCTCCACTGTCGAAAATAGACTGCCACTTGGGAGTAAGATGCCAATGGACTCTAAGCTTCAACGTTTCAGGGATAAATTGGACTTCTCACTAAATTTAATTGCTTGGGGATTGAACCATAATTTTCATAAAATTTTAAATATAAGGTTAGTAGTAAGAAGTCTCAACTCTTGGGGTTTAATAATCATTATTTCAATAACTATTGTGAGTTGTGCACTGGTGCACAAGAATATTCCTTGTACACCATAAGTAAACCTAGTTAATCAGGAAAGGTTTATTCATGGTAATCGAATAGAAAGGATTCTGAACATTGGAATTGCTTTACAAAAAAACTGTCAGTGAGTCATTAGCTCAAATGGAGAATGAAAGTCCCCAAACAAAAGGTGTCTCGCAGTTAAATATGATTAACGAACTGAGACTTTTAACATACCACATGGTTAGAAGGATAGCAGATATTTTAATAAAAGGACAAAATTTAAGTGTGATATTTTAGATTCTTTTGTTATTATTTTCCACATGAAATTAAAATTTTATCTTAATTAATATATAGCCCTTAAAAGTTGGCACTTATTTAACCAAAACTTTAATAAATAATATTCAAAAAACCTAAAATTGTGTCTTTAATTAAAACATCTTATTTGATTTAAAATTTAAATTAGGAATTGTAACTTCTACTTCTTGCCCTCAAATATGAGTAGGTTTTTATTTTCATTGTTCTTTTTTTGTTCTCAGTTGGTGAGATTCTTCCACACCCCAAATAGTCCATATTCCCTCCTTTAATACAGAATCTTTTTATGGACATTGTTATAATTTGTAATCCAAGAGATGCAAGGAGTGAGAATCCAATTCTTCCATCCATAGTAATAGCACAGTGATACATAACAGTAAGCAAAAACAAAACAAAACAAATGTCCACTTTTATGCCTCATTTACCCTCTGGAGTACCATAGAAATATATGCAAAAAGTACAACTAAGGATATTTTGTTCTACTTAGTTTGTTTTTTTCCCCATCAATAATGAATAGTTGAACATGCATGATGATGGGATGCAAGAAAAACCCTAATTCTAAAACCACTCTCACAAACCCTAGAATTTGAGAGTGATATCACTCCCATTGCTCTCCTCACCAATCCGCTTTCTCTCCCCGTCGTTCTCCCCACTCTCCCCCTTCCAGCTGCTGCTCTCCGACTTCCCGTCCTCGATGCTCTCCGACCGCTCTCCGCCGCCGGGAACGTCGGATTCCAGCGAGCCGTGCCCATGGGGCGCGGCCTTGTACATGTGCAGGTGGTGCAGCGCGTTGTGGTGCGGCGGGGGCGGCGGAAGCAGCGGCTGCGGCGGTGCCGCCGTGTAGAACTCCTGCGGCACTGGAGTGGCAGCGCAGTAGTGCGGCGGGGGCGCGTGGGAGGAAGGGTGCGCGCCGTAGAGAGTGGGGGCGGCTGAATGCGCTGCCGCCGTGGCATATTCCGGTGGGACCCAGATTCCGCCTAGGACCACTAGCTGCGGTGCTGCTGGACCCGTTTGACTTGGACTTGGTCTTCTTGTGTGAAGCCTATATTTCTGTTAACAAAATAAATTAGAAAATGTTAATTGGTGAAAGAAAAAGAAAACAAAAAAAAAAGAAAAACAGAAAAACAGAAACAAAACTAGAAAAAGTTGTGGAAATGTAGAATGGTATGTCAGGTGGCAATGATAATAGTACAACAACAACAAAGGTGCTTGTCTGTTTGTACAGTTGAACACAGAAACAGTTACCTGCAAATGGCTTTTAACTTCATCATTGGTCAAACCGTCAACCTTCATCAACTCCCTTATCTGCTTCGGGGTCGCCACTGTGCCAAAATTCAAAAGTCACATATAATTACTCACTGTCAAATTCAAAATCAAAAGGATCCTTTTCTGCATGTCCAATCTTATTCTTGCTGCATGTTGCATTCTTTACTTCGTGAATCAATTATAAATTACTATCTTATACATCACTTTTACACTATTTACAATAAAAATTAATAATCTTATCATATATGTCTAGATAACAGTTTAGACTACCATGTATTCTGGTTTAATTCTATTTATATTACCTTTTTTGTATAACTTAAAAAAAATGAATATTTCTCAAAGTTCATTAGTTACCGACCAAACAAAAGCTTAATATGCAAGTGTGTTATTGAAATCTGTTGTACGGATAATTAAAAAAAGATATCAAACAGACACTTGATTGTGTAAACGTAAATTATTATATACCTTGTGATCCACCAAGCATTTGAAGAGCATTAACGAATCGACGGTGCAGGTCTGGTGACCAACACCTTCTAGCTTTCCTATGAGTTTGTGTTGTGGTTGTGGTTGTTTGTTGTGCATGTGATGATGCAACTGGACTACCTCCTTTTCCTTGATCAACCACAGCTCCATCACTTCCTGAATTCTCCTTCTTATTATTCTGACACGAAGAAACTCCCCTTTCCACCTCTGCACGTTTCTTCTCCTCCACTTCCTTCTCCGCAGAGGCAAGAGCCAGTTCAGGGAGAGGCCGCAATGTGGAGCCATGGCATGAGTTTCTCTCTTTCGAGAATGGGAGAAAGGCTCCTCCACCGTTCCTCTGTTTGTGGTCTAGACCAAGCTTGGGACTGATGCTGAAGCCTATATCAGCTTCTTTTGGCGATGTGATTGAGGGTTGTTGTTTGGTTCCTTCGCTTGCTTGGCTCCAAAGTTGTGCAGATGTCATCCAATTTGCCTTGTCGGACATGTTTGTGGCCTTCTCAGAGCTTTCTGAGGCTAAGTGCTTCATGGGAATGAATTCTTCCAGAATTGGCTTCGTGCCATGGTTCACTTTAAAGGCCTGAAGTTGCTGCCTTGAAGCCTCCACGGCTGTCCCAAGTCCCAACCAAAAATAATTATGTGGGTAATTACTAAATTGTTTGTTGTAAACAAAAGTCGAAAGAACTCGTGATTGCATGTTATTTCACCCTTACTGATTAATATCTGATCACTACCTAATTAGCATTCAAAGAAATGAAAGTGGACAAATATATATATGTGATTGAGGGTGGAAAAGAAAAAGAAGATACAAGAAGATGATCATAATAAATAAAGGTTAATCATATATATAAATACTAGACTTTATTAGGGAAATCTGAATGAGAGAAAAAACAAAACATGATCGAGTTTGTTAGTGTTATACCTATATATCTATATTTAATTTAGAATCGGTAGCTTGAATATTTAAGGTTTAGGATTCTGCATGTTTGATTAGTTTATTGGGGGATTTTGAATTAGCTTTGGTGTGCATGCAAGTGTTATAAAAGGATGATTTAAATTGTGTACCGTTGGTGAGAAGTTGCATGCAGAGAGGAAGCTCGCGTTTGAAGGCATCGATCTTGAGACGTTCTTCCTCTAAGCGAGAGAGGAATTCTTCAAGCTTGTAGGTCTGATCAGTTTGGTCTCCAAATGATTTGAGTAGCAAGGAATAGCTTTGGGGCTTGCAATCAAGGCTTAGTTCGGAGGGTGATGCCATTCTTCGTTTCACGTATAGCTGTAACAACTAATTAACAAGCACACACACTGTTTAAGATAAGTTAATGCAAAAATAGGAACAAGCTAGGTGGTATGTGGGAACAAACAAGAGCAAAAGAGGATGTTTGGCTTCTTCCTTTGTGGAGAGAGAAAGGGTGGTAATGTTGTTTGTAAACACAAGGAGGATCGAGGGAGGATCGTCTTCTTTTTAGAGGGGAGTTCAATGGGAATAAAGCAGGTTCAAGAGAGAGAAAAGAAAAAGCATGGGATAAAGCAGAGGGAAGTAACTTCCTACAAAGAACCAATGCAAAGAAAAGTGTAAAAAAAAATGAGAGAGAGAAGGAATCAGAGAGTCTGACATTAGAGGGTCATGTGCTTAGAGCCTGGTTTTAGAACCTCTCAGTGTTCTTTGTACGAATTCAAAATCACCATTACAAAAGACGATTCTTCTTACTGTTAACCCTTTTTTTTCTTTACTCCTTTCTCTCTTTTTTATCCTTTATTTTGGCTTTCTTTTCATTAGAGCTATGCCTATGTGCAAATGAGAGTCAGATTCTCCAACAATTTCAAATCAAAATCTCATTAACGGTGTATTATCTTTGTTCCTTTTCTTTTCTTCCTCTCATACTTTCTTCTTTCCACGAGAGATTTATTTTGCTTTACCGGATATATCCATGAATTTTGCTTCAAAAGTCTTTGGGACTAATTAAGTTCAAGGATAAGGATATATATATGTCATGTATCAAAAGTGGTCTTACACCATCTTAAACATAGATTAAAGATCAAAGCAAGGATATCATTTATAAATATATATGAATGAATATGTATTTATGGATTGGGGCAGCAGATTAGGATTAATATACATGATACATAATGATATACTATGGTTGCACTTGCTAGCTATAGCTCATGCTCAGGGAATGATCAGAGAAATCATTTCATGAAACCAACATGGATGCAGATGTTGGCCACGTGTTGTGCAACACATATGTTATTGCTGTTGCAGCAGCAATAATAATTAATGAATCTATCATGATTAATTAATAATGAAAGACTTTGAATTGTGGGGGAGCATATACCATCAACATAATTTTTACCAACACAGTGAATAAAGAGAAAAGAAGGAGAGGGAAAGCACATATTCAAATAGGTTTTAGTATCAAACTACCTTGCAACTTTCTCTTTGAGTCCAAAAGTTGCATAATTGTCATGAATTTGAGCGCATTAAGGGAAGGGGAGGAATATCTAATCTAAAAAACGAGACACTCACCATATAGAATAAAATATTTGCCTCCAAGAAAGGAATATCTTAGTTCCAATTCTGCGACTCTAAATTAAGGGAACACAACCCACGAAGCTTAAAGGGGAGAAAAAAAAAATCACCCTCCAAAAGAGTGATAAAGGAGCCTAGCAGAGGAGAATCTTCTTCTGCTACTATCTTTAATGAAGTGGGTAAGAAGCTAAGAAGATTCTCTTTTACATGTTAAACGAATTTTCGTTATTTTGGTTAGAAAGCCAGGTGCAAAAACACCAAATACAATTGGGTCCAACCAGGGCTTTGAAAAGTTTTTAAGTTTATTGATTAGATCAAGTCTAATTTACATGATTCCTTGCGGGTTTCACACAAGCAATAAAGATCAAATGCTACTTTCCCATAAAATTATTACCAATTAGGCATGCACCGCACACCTTATTTAATTTTTCATCAAATTTAATAATATACACAAAATTGAAAATAAAGAGATATAACTATTTTTTTACTTCAAATTTAATTGTATATGTGAATTTGGTTTGGTGATAATAGACATAGGTATTATCTGGATTATTTTATGATATTTTTTCTTATTTTGCTTAAATAACATTAGTCTCTCAGCAATTCGATCGTTAAACATTCATTAAACATTTATTTCAAACCTATTCTAAAATTACAATTCAAATACTCCACATAAATTAATATATTAATACAATTCAAATCCTCCACACAAATTACAATTCATTGAGCATTAATTTATATATAAAGACTCATAAATTAATATACTAACCGGTGCCTTGTAAAAGCATTGGTTAAGGAATAAAAATAGTTTGTTTTTTCATTGAAAAATGTATATTATATTATATTATACGGATCACATCTTAGAGGGATTAAACATTAACCATTGTTGCCCAAAATTACATATAATTGCTGCTTGTTAGTTGGAGTTAATTAGTTTCTACTTAAACTTGATTATTAACATCTTCACTGCAATCCTAACATAGCCTTGCCAAGGTAGAATGAGGAATCGCATATGTAGTTTTCACTTATTTTGTTGTTTCATTCTAGCTATAAAATTTTCAAATATAATTGAGTCATGTATTTTTGTCCCATTCACATGTCAATATGGTATTATTTTTAGGCAAATGGAATAATAAGATAACTTACATAACCGGTAGTGCCCGTACGTCCCCCTGGGGGTGCAGGTATTTTATCAGAAGTTTTAAGCACCCGGTATTGTTGTTATTTTCATTCAGTAATATAGTAACACTTTAATTAATTAAAGTTCATGGCATCAAGATATCAGGAAAAAAATGACAACTCATTTTAGTTAAGTAATATGTATTTTATTTGTATTAGTTATATTTATCAGAAATGGTCGTTATACATTTCATATTATTGAATTATACTTTTTTTTAATATATAACAATATGCATACATATTTGAAATCCTTTTTTTTTAAGACCGACAGTAAATAGTTTTACATATAATCGGGGGCGAGAGGGGAGGAACCGGTCCCTTCCCTCCCCTCATTTTTTAAAATAGATCAAAATTAGTTTTTTTTACTCTCCTAAACTTTATAAAAATATTATATATATATATATATATATAAAAGGTTGATATATTATATAATAGAAAGAGATACAAAATATGATAATGAATTAATTATAATGTTAAAATATTTATATATAAATATTAAAAAAAAAATCTTATTCCTCTTAAACATAAAATTCTGATTCCACATATAATCATTGCTCTGCGCCTATATAGAAAATATCTCAAGTTTGTTCGCATAAAGAAAATATCATTTTGATGATGAACAATACCTCATGTGATAAAAACCATATAAACCATATACAATTAAAATAAAATCATTTGAAGTGAATCATTAAATGATCTTGATTCATTATACCACCCTTATTTTCCGTCCTTGGAGTCGTTGACAATACATACATGCGCATGCATGTTGCCCTTACACTTAATCAACGTAGTACGAAACTTAAAACATATAAACGTTTGATTTTATGTAACAATATTGTCTTAGCTAGAGTGTCAATATGTCGGTTAAAAAAATGAAATTACATCTTTACATCTCATGCTTCATAGGATGCACCAAGAAAAGATTATGTGTTTTTCAATTAGAAAAAATACAAAAGAAAAAGTAGTAGTGTGGCTGTGTGGGTGTGAAAGTGAGAGGAAGAGTGCATCAAATTCCACGAGCTTTCAATAAAAATGGTTGGTTGCTTTCTAACTTCAGTCTTCTTGTACAAGCTAAATTCCAACTCACACCTTTTCTTTGGATTCTTCCTTTTGTTTTTGTTTTTGTTTTTTTTTCCTGTCTCAGGAAAAGAAAAGAAAAAAGAGTAAAGAAAAAAAAAGTAAAAAATAATAATAATAATAATAATAATAATAATAACAAAGAATAGAGATTATCCTCGAGACGCGTGTCCATAATATTCTTTCCTATCGTCCTTCTTCTGAATATCCCTTTTGCGTGGCCCATTTGCGGTTCCTGTCAGAATATTCCTCCCTTCTGCCATTTTCCTTATCGCCCCATGCTTTTTTCATCATATTCTTTTTTTTTATTTCGCCTAATCATTTTTCACTTATTACTTATTTTAACACCATGAATTAAACTTAACAATTTGTAGTGTATCATTAATTTCCTTAAGTGCTTGTTAATTAACTACACATCGGGTCTTCATATCATGTGTTTTAATTTAATGCAAAATTCAAATTTAAATTCACTTTAATATATATACATCTCAATTACGTTGAACAAACTTAACATTCTTTTTTCCTTGGGCTCTCCATTTGCATTAAAAGAATTATAAACCAAACCCACAAACAGAACCATACTTATCACACTAAAGTTGTCTAACTTACTCGCCGTAACACGTGGTCTCTTCAATAGAATATGAAACTTGTTCGATTATTATTATTGTTCAAAGTTGTTTTTCTATTTGAAGTTACTACTTGATGGTAGACATGAATAATTCTTCGATTGTTCCTTTTGTGAAATCAAAATCTCAAATATCACCTTTTATCTAGCTTATAAAATATCTCGAGAATAATTAACATATAAGTTTATTTTATTTTTTACATTTTCGAAGGACTTGTGTGCACAAACAAACATGACAATGTAAGAATCAGGAGTGATAAAGCAGGTAGAATTCGTTTAACTTACCAAAAATGATGGGATATGAATTAAGTGATTCAAGTCACCAAGTTGCCAAATTAACATGCATGTTGAAGACATGATAGATCTGCCTAACCCACTAAGACATGTCCAAAGATATTTAATTTTTTTTAAATAATTCAATTATCGACAAGCCCAATTTATTAATATGTAAAGTAATATTAAAATAATTTCAAGAAAAATGTTACAACATTTTTATGAATACATCATTTTAAATTGATTTCACGACGATGCATTAAAAATCGAGCTTTCGATGTTTCCACTGAAGCATGAATTTTCAGTAGCTTGAGGAGAAAAAGATATTTATCATTTTTTTTTTAATATTTTTCATGTTAATTAAATAGAAGAGAAAAATTATATTTATATATGTTTACAGTGGAATTCGTTTTATGGATTCTTTTTACTTGGACTAGCACAAAAAACGGTTTCAATTTAGGTATTTGATTTAATTCGATTTAAAGACAAAGAACATAGAAGGAAGAGTTAATAATTACTGGTTTCTAGATATTCATCAATGATTATCAAAAAATAGTGTTCATGAGCATAGATGCTTAAATAAACATAATGAACAACAGATATACTTCCTATGCAAATCATGGTTCATAATATCCAAGCATTACAACATTGTCAGAATTTACGTAATTGAAAACTAAGTGATTACAAGAAATAAGAAGACTAAACTAATCCTAATCTAGAAAGGAAAAAAGAAAAGTGGTCAAGAAGCAACCATACCCAAAAACGATTCTATGCACGAAAGCTATATGCGCAGGCGGAGAGTGCTTCAAAGCTCTATTCAAGTATGAGTGTTTCCGACCTCGTGAAAGGCCAAACTTTGCCTATTTATAGAAACTCTCGAGAGCAGTTATCTTTCGTATGCATGCGTCGTGGGTGTGTAACCGATCTCCATCTCAGATACGTGCTCTAAAGAGTACCTTCCCATAACC